AGGTAGGGGTATTACATTACATAGAGATAATTGTTGAAAGTTTGGTTGAGATTGTTTCTAAAAGGAAAGAGCGATGTGGTGTGGTAGAGTTTTGCAATCCGCAATTGTGTGTTACGTAAAACATACTCCCTCCTATTCATAATAAGTGTCATTTTGGGAAGTTGCACATTAATTAAGAATAATTTTTTTGCCAAAATAACCCTCATTAATGAAGATAGAGATGGATGTTTTTCAAAAAAAGATGAAGAGAATATGAAAACACATAGTGTATTTATTAACTAAATGAGGGTAATAATAGAAAAATATGTACAAAAGATCCAAAACGATATTTATTTTGGTTAATAGTTGATAAAGTCAAAATGACATTTAAAAAAAATAGGAGGTAGTAAAAAATTAGAAGAGATAATTTAAAGTATATAAAAACTATGAGAGGCTAGTTAAAATTATCTAATAAAAATTGATGATATTTTGGTCCGCAAAGAAGAGTATGCATCAATCAATGAACTCATATTAACTTAGACAGTAGATAAGTTTGTGGGAAAAATGAGGAGTGCATGGAGATCAATTAAATGATAACAAATTAAGGGCTCTCGAAAGTCGATATTAATTGGTACTCCTATATGAGGAAAATTAAAGAGAAAATAAATAAATATATCATACATCTATCTATCTATCTATCTATCTATATCTATCTATCTATCTATATTTATCTATATCTATTTATTTATATCTATCTATCTATCTATATCTATCTATCTATCTATACTATTATAAAAAGACGAGTGATTTTGTAAAAATAATGATCTGCCTAAAAAACCCTTACTTTGACATATTTTTAATGGCAAATTAGTAATACTGTAATATTCATCTTATTTTGTATTTTTAATTAACAAACGAACTACCTAAAAAACTCTTACTTTGACTTATTTTTAATGACAAATTAGTAATGTATTAATACTCATCATATCTTATATCTTTAATCAATAATTAATATTTAGTTAAATAAATATAGATACACGAACAAAACATTCTAAATCTCCTAAAAATCAACCTCAACATTCTCATACCATTATTCCTCACGAATTTGTTTCTTTCACATATCTATCAAAATGCTTTTTTCATATCTCCAAAAAATCAACCCATACAACAAAGCTTTGAAAAGATACATAATTCATATTTTGAAAAACAATTTATTTTTAATATAATTTTAATGTAAAATCGTAATTACTTTAATTAATAAAAAAAACTACTACATGAAATTAAGTTTTAAAAAAATTGCTATATTGCAATAAAAAATACAACGTCAGACATTCCACTGAAAATCACAACGAATATTCATTGGTATAGCGAATATATATGCATAATCTAACAAATTAAAAAAGTGGATCAGTTTATTTAGCTACTTCCTATTAAGAAAAATACACCCTTATATTTTTGCACCTTTTATTTATTGAATTGAATTTTTATCCCACAAAAAATACACTCAAATAATAATTATTTTTATTATTTAATATTAAGAAATTTAACTCTATTGAAAAATTAATAGGTAATTTTAAGATAAAATAATGAGTGATTTTAATAGAAAAAATGTAGGTATTCCACTAAAAAGTGCAATGAATATTTTATTGGTGTAGTGTTCATTGGAAAATTTCATTGTCTATTTCAATAGAGATCAAATTAAATTATATTGAAATTTTTGTTGATTTAATAATTATAATTACCATTATTTATTATTGTGTGAATTTCAGTTAGAACTTTTCGGACCATATTTCAACTATTGGAAAAATTGTCAATGGAATTTTATAAAATTCAATATGAGTTTATGGAAAGCTAATTGCAGCGGAGGATACAAAATAATTTCATATTGGGGGCATTATTTAGTTAATAGAAAAAGTATACCATCAAAATAACATAATGCACTACAATTTATAAATTATACTTTTCATAATTTGTCATCTTTCTCATCTGTAATACATTTTTAACACATATAAGTTAGAAAATATTAAAAAAAAGCATGACTTTTATTAATTCAATATAAGAAAATCATTGAAAACAATGTACTTTTTAGAATTTCTTTTGAACAAAAACTTTAGGTTGAACAATGTAAAGTAAAAAAAAAATTAAATTCCATAAATAATATTAAAAGTGTTATAACTGATTAAAATAAATATAAAACTATTAAAACTTGTATTTATCAATATAAAACGAGTTGAGTTGTAAACATTTGTTAATGTTTTGTGATTATTAATTCTATGTGTAAGGTTTAGGTGACAGACAATAGTTATTTGTATTTTTATCCATTTAGGTTGGAACTTTNACCACCGTAAGGTATTCCGCTGAAAATTTCAACAGATATTTCATTGGTATAACTTTAATTGAAAATTTTCATTGGCTATTCCAACAGAGATAATATTAAATTACATAGAATTTAACTGATTTAATTATTCCAATTACAATTATTTGTTGTTGAATTTTTCATTGGAATCTTTCTTGAATAATATTTCAACTGTTGGAAAACATAGAGCCATTGGAATTGTAAAAAAATCAAAGGAAGTTTCATTGGAAAGCTAATTGCAGTGGCAGATCCAAAATAATTTCTTACAGGAGGCACTATATCATCAAAATAATATAATGCTTTTATAATTTATAAAATTATAATTTTTATAATATGTCATTTCTCACATGTGATACATTTTTAATACATGAATACAGTCACGACAAGTTAAAATAAATAAACATAAGAAAAACATAATTTTTCTTCCACATAATAAAATCATTGAAAATAATATTTTTTAAAATTTTTATGAGCAAAAAATTTATGTTGTGGTATAGTTGACTCGACAATATAATTAATAAAATATAACCTATAATTCTACATACATTAGTTAAAAAAGACATGAAAAAAGTTAGAGAAAAAAATATGTTACAAAAGAGAGAATAGAAGCTATCATCAAGATTAAAAAAAATAAAATTAAAAGGGTGAAATTATAATTTCTAGATTTATCCTATTTTCTTTAGTTGTAAAACTGTGTTTATGTTATAATTTTAATAAAGTTATGAGCTGAATTGAAGTAAAATTGGTTGAGTCACAAATTAATTCATTATTTATCTTTCTTTCTTTTAATTATATTTTCAGAATAGGGGGTATGATTAAAATTATGAAAAATGTTCCCACAATTTTTATTATATACATTATGCTATATGTTTTGGGAAGTAGCCATGTGTCGACCGTGTTAAAAAAAAATAGATCTGCCCATGATTCCAACAAAATATTTTTGTTATAATTTTCATTGAAATAATTCAAATGAAAGGAATAACATTTACATATTCGTTAGAACTGTCGTTGAAATTTGATTGTAATACATTTTTGTCGAAATTGTCGTTGGAATTTCATCATTTTTTTTGTAGCAAAGGTACTTCTCCAGTTGCGTTATATATACTATTGTGTGCAATTTTTTTTTTTCAAGTGTGCAATTAATTATTATGAAAATTGTTGATAATGATTGAATATATAACACATGAAATGTAATTATAATTTACTTTATTATAATTAGTACTTTTTTTCAAAACAAACAAGATACATCTAGGTTAAATGTTCTTACCTATTTTATTAGTATTATAATAACTAAACAAGAGTTAAGAATGATTTATATGTAATAGAAAATTAAACTTTACAATGCTCAAGCTTATAGTTCGCATTCAATCCAAAAGTAAAAAAAAGTGATAAAATTTGCTAATGTCATCCATAAGTTGGACCTGATTAATAAGAAATATAAAACATACCTAAGATGCACATTTATTTGAACTAAAACTTTTAAGTACACAATTTTTTTTTTCATTCAAAATAGGGATATTAGTATTAGTTTTTTAATTAATATTTCATTACTATCTAACATTAAATTTTTCACTTTCGAAATACTTAATATTTTTTTACTTGTTATCCTTTTATATGTAATATATCACACCATTTCTTTCCAATGATGTGGTTCACTCGATTTTCGACCTCAGTGGTCGTTCGGTCTTCGGTGTTCGACCCCACTGGCGGGTCACTCGATTTTCGACCTCAGTGGTCATTCGGTGTTTATTTGGGTCCTGATGCTCATTTGGAGGTTTGGTGACTATTTGGTGATCGAGGATTTATTCAAATTATAACCTCAGTGGCAGGTTGACGGAAACAGCCCGAAGAGGCATTTCACTCTTGGATCGAGTTATGCTTACTTGACCAGAGTAGGGGGACTAGATGATATGGGATATTATACTAGATCGGCTTTAATGGATAAGAAAAAAATATATTGAAAAATAAGCTTACATATGGACTAGGACACATGACATAATGATATGGGTCGAGCCCAACTTGGGTACTGAGGACACTCCCCCTATAAAAGGGGTTAAGATATCTCAAAACATCATTCTCTCTACATTAGTTACTATTCTCTTGAGATTTGGAGTTTTAGAGTGATATTGACTTAGGCATCGGAGGCCCGACGCCGGGACCCCTCCCGGTGTTGCGTTCTTGCAGTTACGGAGGTCGTTCGAGTTGATGGAGCCCGAGCGAATTTCATTATTACTGAATAGAATATTGTGGAGGATATAATTTCATTTTGTCTTAAATAATTTAATAGTATTTAAATAAAAAATATTTTTTTGTAATATACCCCGTGCATCACACAGGTATCAACACTAATTAAAACCAATGGCATTGCCCCATATTCATATGGATAGGTATGTGAAATCAAAGAACTAAAAATCGATGTTTAAAACCTATGACATTGCCCCATGGGTAGAAAACAAAATTTCCACCTATCATATGACGCCGAGCGCAATGGTCCAATAGAAGGAGCATCGAGCGAACCCAATGAGTCGACAAGTGGGATGGACTCATCCAAATATCCAATCGGTGGGAAAGGAAGTGAGTGGTCCCTTTATCACTACAGAGCTAGCTAAACGTACGTGCGGCATTAATAAATCCACTCATTTCCTTCACGTTGAAATAAAATAACAGAACTTCTAGCACAAAAAAAATATTCCAATTTCAAAATAATACAGAAATCCATAGTTGGTATTCGAAAATGACACCATAATCAACATCCGTTTTACGTTTTTTCAACAGCGCAACGAAATCCAGCTCATATAATACAGATTTACAGACAAAGATTCGTTACAACCCAATTCATCTAATTAATCACACATTCAATCCATCCATGGATATCCACCTCCCATTATTCATCAATTATTTGACGGCGGCCCTCCTTGTTATCACGTTTCTCATCTTCTCAATAATCAAACTATTTACAAAGCCCAACAACCTGCCCCCGAGCCCAACAAGATTGCCCGTGCTAGGCCACCTCCACCACCTGGTAGGCGCCGGGCTTCCCCACCAGGCCCTAACCAAAGTCGCTCAAAAATACGGCCCAGTCGTGCTCCTCCACCTCGGGCAGGTCCAGGCTGTCGTGATCTCCTCCCGAGACGCGGCCCATCAGGCCCTCAAAACCCACGACCCGGCCTGCGCGGACCGGCCCGAAAGCATCGGGAGCCGCATCATGTGGTACGACCACGCGGACATCGTGTTCAGCCCGTACAACGATTACTGGCGACAGATGCGCAAGATCTGCATCCTCGAGCTCCTCAGCACTAAAAACGTGAGGTCGTTCGGGTCGATCAGACGAGACGAGATGTCCCGTCTGGTCGAGTCCCTAAGGTCGTGCTTGGGAGAGCTCGTGAACTTTACGGAGAGGATTTACGGGTACACGAGTTTGGTTTCGTGCAGAGCTGCGTTTGGGAAAGCGGTGGTTGGGGAGGGGCGGCGGGAGGCATTGGTGGGGATGTTGAAAGAGGCGGTGGCGATGGCTGGGGGGTTTGAGGCGGCGGATTTTTTTCCGGGGCTTCGTGTGGTGAGTTGGAATAGGTATCGGCTGGTGAGGATGAGGCGGAAGATGGACGGGATACTTGACGGGATATTGGAGCAGCATAGGGTGAAAAGGAGTGGGGAGTTTGGTGGGGAGGATATTGTGGATGTGTTGTTGAGGATGCACGGTAATGAGGAGGAGGAGCTTCAGTTTCCTATCACCAACCACAACATTAAGGCAGTCATCTTTGTAAGTGAAATGCCTCTTTTTCTTATGGAAAATTGCATTCTCAAGCTAGGAATTCCACTTCTTTAAGGGTAGTTGACAGTTGCAATATATAATAAATAAGGGGGTCATTGAGGAAAGTATAATAAAGGATTTTTTAAGATTTTCATATTTTGAAAGAATTATGTGAAATCTTAAGTTTGGAGGTGGAATTTAAAGTAGAATTTCATATAAGATTTCTTCTTTAGAAATTCCACCAAATCTCAAAACCTCCAAACAAATTCTAGTCTCAAATAAATTAAATACGCCAAGATTTTATAGGACTTTTTAAAATCTCAATTGAATACACCAAGACTTTTAAAAGTCTTAACAAGTCTAAATTAGATACACTAGCATTTCTAAAGTTTTTAGAAATCCCAATTGAAAAGAATTGAGTTTTGTTTGCTTATACAATCAATGACAAAATGAGTCCAAATTTTTGAAACGAGGATGTGATCAGATTCGATTCTACAATAATCTTGATAACATTTTACACACTAAGCAAAAATTAAGTTTCTTCATCTTTCTTGGCGGAGCATTATTTAAATTAGCATTAATTTTAACAATACTCAAGATATAGGATTGGCAAAAATGTATACAAGAAGTAAAAAGACGTAAGTAATCTGCTAACAAAAAAAACATTTATATGTTTCAATTATATATCTCATTAACTACATTAAACCCATTAACCGAAGATGATGATTTGTTGTTTTGTTTTCACACTCTAGGACATGTTCTCTGCCGGAACAGAGACATCCTCAAATGTTCTTGATTGGGCCATGGCCGAGCTCATGAGGAATCCACATGTTATGTCCAAAGCACAAGCAGAAATAAGAGAGGCCTTCAAGGGAAAGACCACAATTGAAGAAAACGATGTGCAAGCTCTAAAATATCTAAAATTAGTTATCAAAGAGACTCTCAGACTGCACCCTCCAATAGCATTGCTCCCGAGAGCATGCAGAGACGAACGCATAGTCGACGGTTACACGATCCCACTCAAATCGAGAGTTATGGTCAACATATGGTCAATGGGTCGAGATCCCGAGTACTGGCCAGAGCCCGAGATATTCAAGCCCGAGAGATTCAAAGATGGTTCAGTGGATTTCTTGGGAAACCACATGGAGTTCATCCCATTTGGGGCGGGAAAGAGGTTTTGTCCGGGCATGAATTTTGGGTTGGCCAATGTTGAGTTGCCTTTGGCACAACTTTTATACTATTTTAACTGGAAATTGCCTCAAGGGATGGGCCCAGATGACGTGGACATGACTGAGGCTGACGGGCTTGCAGTCCCTAGAAAGAAAGAGCTTTTCTTAGTTCCCTTGATATTTGGGCCTTCCATTGGAGACTAGCAGTAATTCTTTTTACATGCATGTCTTGTGACAGTCCTTGAGAAATCTGGTTGCTATCTTACATCATGATGAGATTTCCTATTTTGATTTCATCTTAATATGTATAGCACAATATATTTACAGGTTCTCAAACTTGAATGAAGAGTGTTATTGCAATCTTTACGCAGGCACCAATTTCATAATTTACATAAAATTTCACTTATGTATTTTATTGGCAGTAGTTACCTATGAAACAAGGATAAAGTGTATCAAATTGAATGAGTGTCCCCTGCCAAAGCTCCATAAAAATTTTCCTCCAATCTCTTTCTTGAAAAACCCAATGCAGAAAAAGCTTCTCTACTGCAACATCTAATGATCCTCTCCCACTTCTAGAAGCATCACAATTGCAGATCATTGCTATATTACAATTTACATCTATCCATGAATTACAAAGACTCTTTGTTCCATCTCAAAAAGACAAAATTGCTGACCCACTTTCTCCATGATAATAAGGCTGTAATAACATCTGCCCCTTCCCTAAAATAAGTCCTGTTCTCTGCAAAAACACATCCAACCAGATTAATGGAAAATTCATTGTGAAAGATAAACATCATCAACAAGGTCGGTAAACGTACCCAAATGGAGGTCAAAAGCTTCCGAATCATTAACTACAGCAGAAACCCAAACATTCAATCCAAATTGCTTGGAATCCAAGATGAATTATACAGCATGTGTCGGAAAGTCACGAAACCCCACCGTAACTCAATACATAATTACCTCAGCATATGATCACCATTTTCCAAACACCTTTTTGTGCTCTTCAGTAATAACAAAATCGACAATGAATAGGAATCCTGTCCTCTTCAGCAGCCTAATAGAAACGGTTCACGCACTCAAAGTTTTCTTTGGAGAAATATGCTCCTCAAACTTCCGACTCACAAGAATGTCATAAGTCGTATCATCTGGCACGAGGCCCCTGTCGAGCATCTCTTCATGAAGCCTAAAAGCCTCCTGCAGATTACCCTCCCTAAAATACCCGGCAATCAGAGTATTATAAATTAGCACGTTAGGTGTTATCTTTCTTTCGACCATTTCCTCAAGCACCTTGCAGGCATTCTCCAACTGTCCTTTATTACAGAGTCCACGTACTAAAATAGAATATGTAATGACATCCGGCAACATACCCCCAGCAAGCATCTTGCGGTAAAACTCTAATGCAAGCTCTATTTTACCGACCTTAAATAGCCCATCGATCAAAGTTGTGTAAGTTTCTAAATCGCACTGAACACCCTCATTCTTCATCCTCTCGTAAAAGTCGAGAGCCGACTCCATATTGTACAAGCCCCTGAAACCACTAATCATTGTGTTGTAAACACCGATATTTGGCGAAAGGCCAACTTGTGAAATCTCGTCAAAAAGCTCATGAGCTGCCTTCATATCGTTTCTTTGCCAGAAGGCACCAATGAGTGCATTATACGCTTTCACATCCATTTCGACACCCCTTTTCCGCATCTCAGCTTGCATTTTCAGCGCAAGATCGATTTTTTTCATTTTACATAGCCCGTCGATCAAAGTTGTGTAGGTGACCACATTGGGAACAAGTCCGGCCCCGAAAATCTCCTTATAGATAGATAGTGCCGAATTAACATCTCCTTCCTTCATAAAGCCATCGATGAGGCTATTGTAAGCCATGCAAGTAGGGTTGAAACCCATGGACACAAACTTCTCCATCCTACCTTTCGCGATTTGGGTTTTGCCGACTTTGCACAAACCATTAATGACTGTATTGCGCGTGAAGTCATTGGGCGTGATTCCCAAGCTCACCATCTTGTCGAAAAGCCCACTGGCCTTTTCAGCTTCACCTTTTCGGAAATATCCATCGATCAATATGCTGTATGTGACGACATTTGCTCTCAGGTTCCGTGCTGTCATTTCAGAAAGTAATTTGGATGCCACATCCATATTTCCTTTTCTACAATTCCCTAGAATCATATTGTTGTACGAAACTACACTAGGTTCAATCCCCCGAGCAATCATTTTTCCCAGTATCCTGTTAGCATCGTCTATCCTACCCGTCTGGCAAAACCAGGATAAAAGGTTATTATACGTAAAGACATTAGCAACACCATCCTCAACAGCCTCATCAAATACTTTCATTGCCTTGTCTGTTGATTGAGTTTTTAGAAAGCCTCTAATTAATGAGTTCACAATGTACACTGTAGGCCGAATGCCTGCAGATTTCATTTGCTTAAACAACTCATTCGCCTGAATCATGTTTTTATTCACACAGCACCCTTCTATGACAACTGCATAAGTGACCTTGTTTGGAACAAGTCCTTCCCCAACAATCTTATTAAACAAGGCCAACGAGCTCTGCAAATTACCCTGCAGATAATAACCCTTCATTAGGCTAGTAGCAACCACCAAATTCAACGAGTGTCCACTGTTAATCATCTCATCCTTCAGCTTTAGTGCATCCTCCATGTTCCTCTGCTTCACACACATACAAATCAGTTGCGTAAATGTACCTTTGGGCGGGACCCAGCCCTTCTTCTTCATCTCGCTCAACAGCCCAAAAGCAATGCAGCTATTGAGCTGCATACAAGCAACCCGAATGGCAGTAAAATAGACTGGAGCATCAAGCTTAATTCCAATTTTCTTTGCATGAAAAAAATAGCTCTGAGCCTCCTCAATCTTACTTTCTCTCAAGCTCAAGCACATCATCGTGTAAATGGTGGCACGGTCACACAAACTCGTTTTGTTCAAAACTGTATCTCTAAACAAGCGGCGGGCCTCATTGACCATACCCGCCCGAATTAATGAAATCAAGAAATTATTGAAAATCACGGGAGTGAGCATAATACCACGAGAAACAAGTGCACGATAGCAATCTTCCCCATCTTTGTACCGGTTTGCTCTAACGTACCCATTCATCAAGTAACTGCAAATCCTCGGTTTTATATGAAACCCAAACTTCTCCGAACAGTTAATAAGGCGATCGACAAGCACAGCACCCGAAGGGGAAAAATTTCCGGCCAAGTAATTGTTGAGCATATTACTCGCATTCCCATGATAATTAGAGGAGCTTGTGAGGATGTGAAGGAGCACGAGAAACGAATCCCCAATCTCTCGCACGAAACCTCGTCGTTTTTTGACCCACTCAAAGTACCCAAGAGCTGCCCCGGGGTCGTTGGAGTAAAATAAAAGGGCGTCAACGACATATTCTTGGGTTAGCCGTGTGTCTTCGAATATGGGGTTTTTCTGTAATCGGACAGTGTTTTCGGGATCCGAGGTTGAGTTAGCTTCGGTGGAATCGGAGCATGGGGGTGTTGTGGAGGCAGTTTCTAGGATTGAAGAAGAAGATAAGGATTTATGAGCGGCGAACGAGACTAGCAACCGTGGACGAAGTGGTGGAGAAGGAAATTGGAGCAAGTGTCTCATCGTCTCCGGACACTCTGCAGAAGACGGAGACAGAGTGGGAAGAACGGAAAACCTATCAGGACGTCCTAAAACCCTCCCCCAACCAAAATGGCGTTATTTTCTTGTTCTATTGTTAGTTTGTTTTTACTTTGTACTTTAGGAAATTGATAAAAAAAAATATAAGATGTATTTGTTTATAAATTTTCTCAATTCATACTCAAAATATACATCTCCAATTTGGGTTTCGGGCTAGAATTCGGGTAGATGTTNACCTGTAAGAACTCAACGTCGGAGGAGTTTCCGGTGTAGAGCCTCTGATGCTTAAGTCAGTATCAAGAAAAGGGAAGAGTGCTCTGCAGATAGAGCAGCAGCAGAATATAAGATGTGTAGAGTATAAAAAAATTAGAGTTTGGTCATACCTCATCCCCGTTTATAGGGGAAAATACCTGCCCGGAATGCCCAGTCAGCCTGCCCAGCTACCCAGTTTATCCATATCCTAATCACTTCTTAGTTAGCTTAAGATTCCATCTCATCTTTTAAAGGTTCATCCCTGTCCGTTAAGCCTGTTGAATATGGGAAGACAACTACTAGATGTGAATCTCGAGTAGCAAGGTAATTGAGGTACATCTCGAGCAGCGAGGCAACTGAAGTCGACCTCGATACACGCAAGGTCGACTACAATCATTCCTCTCCTTCTGGGACCGTCCACAGGACCCTTGGGTCATTCCTCTTCGTCGGTGTTGAGACACGTTCGTCTGTACAAATACTTGTGAAGTCGACCTCGAGATGAACGAGGTCGACTATGTTTTGCCTCTAAGTACAAGCCGTCATCTTCATATCCACCTTCTTCGCCAATTGCTCATGGACCCTCTAGGTTACTCGTCTCATCAGCGACCATTCTATGGTTGCTCCTCCCAGTCTTTGTACTATTAGTCGACTTGGGCAGATCATTGCCAAGGTCCCGGAGTCACCTATTTCTAGTCATGGTCTTAAGTCGACATCCCTTACTTGAATCGTTATGGTGTAACTCGACTTGAGACCCGGTCGAGCTACTATGGCCATGTCAGGGGGTTTAAAGAAATTGGACTTGAGCTTAGTTGACATATTATAAGTTAAAATATCATTTAAGTTGAAAAATTTTTTGGGTTATAAAATGATATTTCAACTCGTAAAATCAATTAAGTTGCCTACATATCCCTTACCTCGGGAATCAAAGTCTCTGTAAAACTCTTACTATACTTACCTTGATAAAAGTAGATGACGGGATTGAACCGACTGTCATCATACCTGTAAGTGTAGTAGTCCTCTTCATTTCTGGCAGTTTCACTAGTATTAGCAGAAAAATTAGATGCCTCATCATCTTGGATAGTTAGCATGACCTTTTCTGCCCTCATCTTGGCCTTCTTCCAGTCACTCATCAGCATTTGAGCCTATAGGGTTTTGGCGTCAATCTTGACCGTCGTGCGTCTAGTGATATCCTCCCTCGCTGAATGCCTGTTCAACCACCATTGTTGTGACTGCTTACTTGTATGGATCGTTGGACACCGACATATACATGAAAATCCCAGAAAGAATCAGAATGCCCGAAGCACTAAACTCCAAACCTAAAGAGTTATGTGCGATAAAGCTTCAAAGATCATTATATGACTTGAAACAATTCGAGCATATGTGGTATAATTGTTTGAGTGAACAATTACTAAAAAGAGGATATTTAAATGATCAAATATGCCCGTGTGTCTTTATAAAGAAATCACATGATGGAGTTGTGATAATTGTTGTCTATGTTGATGATCTTAATATTATTGGGACAACAAATGAAATTCGAGAAGCAGTCATTTTACTGAAAGGCGAATTTGAAATGAAAGATCTCAGAAATATCAAATATTGCCTCGGTTTACAGATAGAGAGAGTACAGAATGGGATATTTGCCCATCAATTTGACTATACTAAGAGAGTACTGAAACGATTTAATATGGACAAAGCTAATCTCCTTAGTACTCCGATGGTTAACCGAACATTAGATGTTGAAAAGGATTCATTTCGACCTTGTGAAGAAAATGAAGAAATACTTAGTCCTGAGGTACCATATACGAGTGCGATAGGAACTCTTATGTATCTTGCTAATTGCACTAGACCAGATATATCTTTTACAACCAACTTATTAACAATATATAACTCGTCACCTACGAGGAGACACTGGAATGAAATCAAGCATATATTTCGTTATCTCCAAGGAACAACCAATCTGGGATTATTTACTTAAATGATAAAAAACATAAAATGATTGGTTTTGCAATTGGTGGAACTGCATATTCTTGGCATTCTCAGAAACAAACACTAGTTGCTACATCTTCACCATGCTGAAATCATTGCTCTTCATGAAGCAACCAAGGAAAGCATCTGGCTCAGAAACATGACTCAACACATTCAACAAGCCAGTGGATTATCGAATAATAAAGATCCGACGGTGCTATTTGAAGATAATGCAACACGTGTCGCTCAAACCAAAGAAGGATACATTAAGAGTGACAAAATTAAACATTCCTACCAAAGTTCTTCTCATACACTCAAAAGCTTGAAAGGAACAAACAGATCAAGATCCAATACATTCGATCAAGTGATAATGCAGCAGATTTATTTACAAAGGCGCTCTTAACTACAACATTTCGAAAACACGTTCACAACATTGGAATGAAACATCTTCAAGATTTGAAGATGATCACTCGATGGGGAGCATGTGCAGCTGTACTCTTTTTTCCTTATCTCAGTTTTTTGCATAGGGTTTTTTCGGATAAAGTTTTTAACGAGGTAGCATAAACGCACATTTAATAGTGATAATTCCAAGAGAGAGTGTTATGAACAAGTGGAATGTACCACTATTCATAAATAATAATTATATCACATGTGAAAAATAAGGGTATGAGATATGAATACTTTGTGTACATAATGTACGTAGAGCCTATAAAATCACTCCAAATGAAGTGAAAGAATGCACATACAAAGAAAGAAGAAATAAATTCAATATAATTTATATTCAGTTTCTATATTGAGTTATTTTATCTTCTCCGTTTTTATAACATGTACAAATTATATTTGTTTGTATAGGGGAAAAGCCTTAGCACTTTTCAGCGCTTTCAAGTTTCAACTATAGCACCCCAAAAGGTTGGTACTGTTCACAAGTTTAAACCCACTTATCTTTTTCACCGATGCATTCATTTCAATCAGGTTCATAGCTTCACGCGAGCTTCAGCTTTCATGAAATGTGCTGTTAAATTTCTAGGGTTTTGAGGTTTCTCGCATTTCTTATCGTGAGAAAGATTTCTATTTCTATTTTTATTTTTTCTTTCGGTGGTTCTGGATTCATGTTTCGTAAAACGAAAAAAAGTTCAGTTTTCTTGTTCTCATCGAAATATAATTGAGTTTAACGATTTAAAAGCGCTGTTCGTTTTTTGTTTTTTGTTTTTTTTAATTTTCTTTCTTCTTTTATTTTCCCAATGACAGGAATTGCTTTCTGAGAATGTGCATAGCCTAACCCAGACCCATAGTGATTGTTCTTGAATCTTTTTGGTCAGTTATGTGTATGGTCATAAAGATTTTAGCTTTATGATTCTCTTCTTTTCCTTTTCGTTTTTCATTTGAGTTTCATTTCATGTGTCTTATCTGTAAGTATGTGGTTTTGGTTGGATGGTTCTGATGGGTCAAATGGCCAGCCCTGTACTCTTATTATCAATTTCATTCTCATTTATGTTTATATTATTTTAATTACGAAGTTCCAAATGTGATTTTCACTTGTTGCAGGAGCTAATTGTGAATAACTTAGATTTGTTTCTTGCGCGGAGTATTAAGTAGAACAAGCTATGAGCTTCAGTACCACCACCGGGGGTCAGTTAAAATTCTTTCCTGCTTTGGTTAACTACTGTAGGAAATTTAGTTAAGTCCTCACATGTTGTTAGTTACTCAACTTTTTCCTTACTATCAATAAAAGAAACTTGAGCTATGTGTGCTTATAAAGCCTTATTCGCTTATTTGTTATAGGCAGCCAAACCTCTAGAACGGCATTTGAATTTGGAAGGACTCATGTTGTCAGGCCAAAAGGGAGGCACCAAGCAACAATAGTTTGGCTCCATGGATTGGGTGATAATGGCTCAAGGTATATTAGCCCCTGAAAGGAAGAAAACAATATTCATTATTTATCTTGGTTTTGGTAATATGGTTTCTATCATCGTTATAAAAAAAAAGAGCATCTTGTATAGTGTATCACCAACTACAAAGATCTTAAGCAGTTTCATATTTTCTGGAAACCATAATGCAGATAGTAACTAATTTTAATTATAGTATGTGATAATTAGGTAAAGAATGCTAAGAATTTCATCATTGCTTGTCCTTGCTTGCAATTTTGAATGTGCGTCTATGGATAAAGTTAGGTATCAGTCTTTTTTACCAATGTAAAAGATATGGAACAGAGGACCACTTCCTCACTACCCATGTTTTTCCCTATTTTAAAATGCCAAAGAAAAAGATTTGTTTATGCAACTTCATTATTAATAAATTGTAAATGGGTATTATCTTTAATAATTAGGATCAAAACTAAAGCAATGTGCAGTTTTGATCTGTTCATGTGGCCTACACTCTGTGTGATCCCAAAATTAATTAATATATATATTCGAGTTTGAAGAGCGTCTGCTTTTAGCCTTTTACTATTATCTTCTGTTATGTCGTGTACTTGATTGATAAATTAAAGCTTGTTGTTGTTGTCAACTTGATATTTTGTTCACTATTGTGTCCAGATCGATGTTGCATAATTTATATTTAAGTTTTAGTTCATGTATATGTTCAGATATAAATATTACGAACCTACTATTTTGAGCTTGAAACTTGAGCACCCACATGCATGGCTTTGTATGCCTAGTTCCTAATTATATAATTTCTTGAGCCTTTATTAATTCTTTAAATGGAGATCCACATAACTATGTTATTGCTTGCAGTTGGTCACAGCTCTTGGAAGGCCTTCCCCTTCCGAATGTAAGTTCTGGCACAAATTATGAGCATTATTTAAACATTAACTAATTCAACTTCATCTAGAGCAAAGATTGTTGAACATGATTACACTCTTTATGATTAATAACCTCAAATATTTTATTTTAAACCCAATTAAAATGCAGGTCAAGTGGATCTGCCCAACTGCTCCTACTCGTCCGCTGTCTCTATTTGGTGGATTTCCTTCCACTGCCTGTAAGATAGTTTTATCTAACCCATGCATTCTATATTCAGAATTAAGCCTGTCATAGTTTATTATTCACAAATCAATGCTTGTTTGACTTGAGTTAGTGGAAGAAGCTTCTTTTCTGTTTCACACTGTATTATGATATGACAATGAACTTACCTCTACACTTCAGGGTTTGATGTAAAAGAACTTTCTGAGAATGCACCTGATGATGTTGAAGGATTGGATGCTTCAGCTGCACATGTTGCAAATCTCTTGTCAACTGAGCCTGCTGACAGTAAGTTTCACCCTAGGAGCACCGTATGCCTAGTTTATTTATTTATTTTTTCGTTTTGCTTTTTATTTAATGAAATGCTTGTTAGTGAACCCAATGTATGAAATGGTGTTTCACAAGAGATGGGTTCCAAAATCTGGCCTTGATTCGTCACTCAATTTACTCAGATTCTGTTTATTGATTTATTTGATTTTTAAGTAAAAATTTAGTTTTCTGATCTTGCTCTATATGC